GAGAGAGAGGGCGACGGAAGGGCGCGGAGAGAGAGAGCGCGACGGGTAGGAGGGGCGAGAGAGAGGGCGACGGGAAGGGAGCGGAGAGAGAGATCGCGACGGGAAGGGAGGGGCGAGAAGAGAGGGTGATGGGAAGGGAGCGGAGAGAGAGAGCGTGACGGGAAGGGAGGGGCGAGAGAGGAGGGGCGAGAGAGAGAGCGACGGGAAGGGAGCGGAGAGAGAGAGCGCGACGGGAAGGGAGGGGCGAGAGAGAGGGCGACGGGAAGGAGCGGAGAGAGAGAGCGCGACGGGAAGGGAGCGGAGAGAGAGGCCGACGGTAAGGAGCGGAGAGAGAGCGCGATTCGAAGGAGGAGCGAGAGAGAGGGCGGAACGGAGAGAGAGAGAGATGCGATGGGAAGGGAGGGGCGAGAGAGAGGGCGACGGGAAGGGCGCGGAGAGAGAGAGCACGACGGGAAGGGAGGGGCGAGAGAGAGGGCGACGGGAAGGGAGCGGAGAGAGAGAGCGCGACGGGGCGAGCGACGGGAGGGGCGATCGGTAGGGAGGGGCGAGAGAAGAGGCCGACGGGAGGAGAGGAGGGGAGAGCGAGGGCGACGAAGAGGGCGACGGGACGGGCCGACGAGATGGCGACGTGACGCGCGACGGAAAGGGAGACGGGTGGGCGATTTGGCGAACTCGAGGATAGCATAGTGGGTGATGAGAGGGGTGAGAGGAATGGCGACGGGAATGGGTTCTCTGTGATCGCGAGGAAAATATCACTACGCAGCAACGGCGACGAAGTATCACAAACAATCTAATGATAATTTCATTTCTATGCCGCATCAGCCTAATCCCTCGTCTCTGGCTATTCTATGCTAGGCAAGCTCCGTGAGTTAGGCAAGCTACGGTACGTGAATGGAGTTGAAGTAAGCATATGTGGAACCCAGGCCCAGCTTGAAAGTCGAAGTCGGGTCCAACCATCAAAACGCACGACAAACAACTGTCGTGCAAATGTCGCATGCAGAAAATGCGAACGCGCGAGCACGATCTGATTTTTTTTTTTTTTGGCGGGAACGAATCACGTGTGTTCAGTCTGTGGAAGGGCGAATGCCCGGAACAGTGTTTTACACAGCCCATCGTCGTTCCAGTTTTGCTTCTTCTGAGCACGATTTCAAGTTGGATCCGCCTTCACTATTTTATATTTCGGTTTTTAACAGCAACTTCAAAACTGTTTTCCTTCGCATGAAGGATACTTGTTTATAATGTTGGTTGATTGACACACCTTGCTGTTCAGTGGCAAGATTCCCTCAGCAGGCTTGGTTGGGTTCCTATAGCATTGTCCCAGTATTTCCTAAAAGGATCCTTCTTCCTACCCCATCCATCCATGTAGAGCAGAGCAAGGTTTCTTGGGGCAACAAAGCCCATGCCCACCTTTCAGCCCAATGTTCCCATCCCACTCATCCACCCCATCCGTATCCTGTGCTCCTCCTTAATCAAAGAAACATCTCGTGTGTGCAGAGTACTACTGCTGCCAATGCTTGTTGATGTTTACAATAAGATCCTCCCTACAAGTTACAACATCTCAGTCAAATCACTCCATATGAGTAGTTATATAAGGTATACTCTACTGCAGCATGTATTCTCGCACATCGCGAGCCATGGATGGCTTTTGAGGAACGCAACGAACCCCATGCCCACCGCCCCGCCCTCCATACCCCCATGCACATCCTGCTCCTCAATAAAAAAACGACTCTAAATGGGGCTGTGCTGTGGTGTGCTGTGCTGCCCACTCTCCCCCCCTGCTCCTTTCTTCTCCCTTCTCTACTTCATGTATTCTCGCACGTCGCGAGCGATTGACTCCAGGAAAGCAACAAAACCCATGCCCACCGCCCCGCCCTCCACGTCCCCATCCACATCTTGCTCCTCGATCAGAAACGTCTTCAAAGGGGGCTGTGCTGTGTCGTGATGTGATGTGCTGTGCTGTGCTGTCTGCTCCTCTCCCCTCCTCCACACTCCTCCCTTCTCTACTTCATGTATTCACGCACATCGCGAGCAATCGATTCAAGAAACGCAACAAACCCCATGCCCACTGCCCCGCCCTCCACGTCCCCATCCACATCTTGCTCCTCGATCAGAAACGTCTCAAAGGGGGCTGTGCTGTCCACGCCTCCCCGGATGGTGATTGTACGCGGCGTGATTATGCGGTCGGCCTTCAGCCGGTTGATGGTCGTCCGCAGCAAGCCTAGGAGGGACGGTTGTTGAGAGGGAGAAGAGGGGGAAGGGAGGACAAGTGGCATTTGTGACTGTACGTGGTGTGATTATGCGATCGGCCTTCAGCCTGTTGATGGTCGTCCGCAGCAATGCTAGGAAGGGGGGGAGGGAGGGAGGGACGCACAGAGGGAGTGAGGGGAGGAGGGAGTGAGGGGGATGACAGAGAGGAGATATGGGGTGTTGAGAGTGACAAGTGCTCCTGGGGAGGAGGCAAGCAGGGGACACGCATGCTAGGGTAAGAAAGAGAAGGGCTACTCACCTGTTTGAGGCGGTGGGAAGGGAAGATCCGCAGGGGCTGCAGGCGAGTAGGAAGATGGGGCTGCAGGCGAGTAGGAAGATGGGGCTGCAGGCGAGTAGGAAGATGGGGCTGCAGGGGCTACGTACTGTGTTGTGGTTGAGGGGAAACTGTAACACTTCTTACTTGTTTGAGGCGGTGGGAAGGGAAGATCCGCAGGGGCTACAGGCGAGTAGAGGACGATGATGGTGCTCAAGACATCGAGCAGAAAGAACGGTCTGCAGGGGCTACTCGTTCGCGGGTAAAAGAAGATCAACTTACTCGTTTGCGGCGGTGGGAAGGGCAGGTCTCGTCTGCAGGGGCAGCAGGCGAGTAGAAGGCGATGATGGTGCTGAATGCACTGAGCAGAAAGATGGGGCTGCCGCTGGTGACGAGTGGTGCTGGTGATGTAGAGACACAAGCAGGTTCGGCTTATGGAACCAGAGGTGAACTTACTTGTTTGTGGTGGAGGGAATGGGAGGTCTGCAGGTGCTGCAGGCGAGTAGGAGACGATGATGGTGCTGAGTGCATCGAGGAGGAAAATTGGGCTGCCGCTGGTGACGAGTGGTGGTGGTGACGGTGAGTGGTGCATGTGATGGTGACTGGTGCTTGTGATGAGGCAAGTAGGGAACGCATGCTAGGGTAAATGAAATGTTACTCACTTGTTTGTGGTGGTGGGAAGGGCAGGTCGGGGGGAGCGGCGGGCGAATAAAAGATGATGATGGTGCTGAATGCATCGAGGAGGAAAATGGGGCTCCCGCTGGTGACGAGGGCAGCACGGCTCAGGGAGTGGCGGGGGAAGGCGGGGCGGTCGGGAGTGGTGTAGGAGGAGAGGACGGGGTAGACAGCCCGCATGAGGAATGAAGGATCTAGAGAACTGCGGTGGGGGGGGAAACAGAGGGGTGAAGAGCGGTAGAGGTGGACAAGAATGAGGTACAGAGTGGTGGAGAAAGGTCGGTCGGGAGTGGTGAAGGAGGAGAGGACAGGGTAGACTGCCCACATGAGGAAGGGGGGGGTCCTGGGAACTGCGGTGGGGAGGGGCGGGAATGGCAACAAAGGGAGTGGGAATAGCAACAGAGGGGTGGAGAGTGATAGAGATGGAAAGAACGAGGTACAGATTGGTGAGAGAGTGAGGCGCAGAGTGGTGTAGGAGGAGAGGACTGGTTAGACTGTCCGCGTGAGGAATGAAGGGTCCAGGGAACTGCGGTGGGGAGGGGCGGGAATGACAACAGAGGGGTAGGACTGGTTAGACTGTCCGCATGAGAAATGAAGGGTCCAGGGAACTACGGTGGGGAGAGCACAAAAGAGCAGGAAGAGATGCAATGAAGCGTTGAAGGAGGGGAGTAGGAGGGTAGCACCAAATCGGGAGATGTCCCAAAACACGTCTCAAATCTTGAGACATCTCAAGAACGTCAAGAATACCTTCAATTTTTACCAAGGTGACTTTTGAGTCGACTCAAAAGTCACAACGTCAAGAATACCTTCAATTTTTGCCCCACACCTTGGCAGCCACAGCAGAAGAATTCTGCAGACAGCTGGAGGGAGACAGGGGGAGGAGAACAGAGGTGTAGATAGGTGGAGAGAGTGGAAAAATGGTGGAGAGGGGTGGAGAGCTCTCACCTGTATAGGCAGTGCAGGAACGTGCGCAAGTCAGGATGCACCCGTTCCCTTGGCAGCTGCAGCAGCGGCGAGCAGAGGAGAGAGCTATAGAGGCCTAGGGAGATATTGAGCGGTGGAGTGTGGTGGAGGTGAGCAGAGATCTTACCTGTATAGGCAGTGCAGGAACGTGCGCAGGTCAGAGTGAACCCCTTCCCTTGGCAGCTGCAGCAGAGGAGATCGCAGGAGCGCAAAGGCAAGCCGCGGCAGCAGCTGCAGCTGTGGGCAGGCTGAGAAGGAGAGATCTAGAGGAAGGTGGGGAGAGAGGTGGAGAGCGGTACACAGTGCTCACCTGTAGAGGCAGTGCAGGAACGTGCGCCAGTCAGGATGCACCCCTTCTCGTAACATCTGCAGCAGTGGAGATCGCAGGAGCGCAAAAGCTAGCCGCAGCAGAGGCTGCAGCTACGGGCAGGCTGAGAAGGAGAGATCTAGGCGAGTCACAGAGTGGGGCTGGTTGAAATGAAGAGAGGTGGAGAGTGGTACAGAGCTCTCACGGTCTCACCTGTATAGGCAGTGCAGGAACGTGCGCAAGTCAGGGTGAACCCCTTCCCTTGGCAGCTGCAGCAGAGGAGACCGCAGGAGCGCGAAAGCCAGCCGCGGCAGCGGCTGCAGCTGCGGGCAGGCTGAGAAGGAGACGTCTAGGCGAGTCACCGAGTGGGGTTGGTTGAACTGAAGAGAGGTGGAGAGAGGTGGAGAGGGGTGGAGAGCTCTCACGGTCTCACCTGTATAGGCAGTGCAGGAAAGTGCGCAGGTCAGGGTGAACCCCTTCCCTTGGCAGCTGCAGCAGCGGAGAGAGCTGGACAGGAGTACGGAGAGAGTGAGAGTGGTCGAGAGAGGGTGGAGAGCGGTGGAGAGTGGTCTCACCCGTATAAGCAGTGCAGGAACGTGCGCAGGTCAGGGTGAACCCCTTCCCTTGGCAGCTGCAGCAGCGGCGAGCGCAGGAGAGCAAAAGCCAGCCGCGGCAGCGGCTGCAGCTGCGGGCAGGCTGAGAAGGAGACGTCGAGGCGAGTCACCGAGTGGGGTTGGTTGAACTGAGCGAGGCCAAAGGCGTGGTTGTAGTGGGCCGTGAGAATGACCAGCCAGTCCTGCAGGAGCAACCTGCCTTCCCGTACTCCCTCTTCCAGCGATGCCCGAATGACCTGTGGGAAGGAAGAGGGAGGGGATGGAAAGGGCTGGTTGAACTGGGCGAGTCCGAAGGCGTGGTTGTGGTGGGCCGTGAGAATGACCAGCCAGTCCTGCAGGAGGAGTCTGCCTTCCCTTACTCCTTCCTCAAGGGACGCTCTGATAACCTGTGGGAGGGGAGAGAAGGTGAAAGAGAGAGGGACAGAAGGGGCTGGTTGAACTGGGCGAGTCCGAAGGCGTGGTTGTAGTGGGCCGTGAGAATGACCAGCCAGTCCTGCAGGAGCAACCTGCCTTCCCTTAATCCCTCTTCCAGGGATGCCCGGATGACCTGAGGAGCAGTGGGGAGAGAGAAAAAGAGAGAGGGACAGGGACAAGGAGAGGGACGGAAGGGAGTCTGCCCTCCCTTAATCCCTCTTCCAGGGATGCCCGGATGACCTGAGGAGCAGTGGGGAGAGAGAAAAAGAGAGAGGGACAGGGACAAGGAGAGGGACGGAAGGGAGTCTGCCCTCCCTTAATCCCTCTTCCAGGGATGCCCGGATGACCTGAGGAGCAGTGGGGAGAGAGAAAAAGAGAGAGGGACAGGGACAAGGAGAGGGACGGAAGGGAGTCTGCCCTCCCTTAATCCCTCTTCCAGCGATGCCCGGATGACCTGAGGAGCAGTGGGGAGAGAGAGCGGTGAGAAGGAGTGGGAGAGGAGAGAGAAACGAGCGAGGGAAGGAAAGTGGGAGCACATAAAGACCCGCGAATGGCCTCGTACACGGCTTTTGAGAAGCCTACAAATCAGCAGTTAAACACCCATCGCGTGTAATGAGTCGATTTTTGAGTCGACTCAAAGATCCCGCGAATAGCCTCGTGCAGGACTTTTGAGAAGCCTAAAAATCAGCAGTTAAACACCCATCGCATGTGCGAGCAAGGTGAGAATGGCTTCGTTACCAGCAGACTCGTATTTCTCCCTCGCCCCCCTCGCCACGTCCAGTCATGAAACATCTCAGATACAGGAAAACCTCATTCTTTTTAGGCGCCTTCAAAAGACGATTTTTGAGGCGCCTCAAAAGACGTCTCAAACACTGGAAAATCTTCTGAGTCGACTCAAGAACAGACCCACCTTGTGTGTGAGAACATTTAGGGCGCGTTGCATTTGGCGCACATAGCTCAAAACTCAACTAACCACTTTGAACCATGCCGTAACGCTCTCTAAAACTTCAAACTTCGACAAAAAAATCGACCCTGCAACACGCCCTTAGAAGAGCTCGTTATCAGCAAACTCGTATATCTCCCTCGCCCCCCTCCCACTTGGCCAACCCCGGGTCCCAAGACTAGAAGAGGAGAAGAGAGGAGAGCACCCACCTTGCGTGTGATAACAGTCAGAATAGCTTCGTTATCAGCAGAATCGCATACCCCCCTCGCCCCCCTCGCCACATCCACACATATCATCTTCACTCTCAGCCTTCTCCTCCTCAGCACCACGCCCCCTTCAGCACCGCTCCTCTCCTGCTTCCATCCTCCCCGTTCCTTCCATTACTCACTTGTGACTTACCTTGTGTGTGAGAACGGTTAGAATGGACTCGTTATCAGCAGACTCGTATATCTCCCTAGCCCCCTTTGCCCCACCCCTTCACTTCGCCAACCCCATGTCCCAAGACTAGAAGAAGAGAGGACTCACCTTGTGTGTGAGAACAGTGAGAATGGACTCGTTATCAGCAGACTCGTACATCTCCCTCGCCCCCCTCGCCACCTCCAGTCATAAGACGTCTCAACCACCGGTAAAGACGCACCTTGTGTGTGAGAACAGTGAGAATGGACTCGTTATCAGCAGACTCGTAGATGTCCCTCGCCCCCTTTGCCACGTCCACACATATCGTCTTCACTCTCAGCCTCCGTCTAAGCACCACCCCTCTTCTCTTCCCACCCTTCCTCCCACTGCTGCTGCTGCTGCTGCTGCTCCCCACCCCACCTCCTCCCGCACCTGTCTCTCTTCCCCCCTCCCCCTCCTTTTCTCCTCCTCCTTCTTTCCCCTTTCCTCCCTCCATCACTCCTTCAGCAGTCCCGTTCACACCTGTAGCAGCCCCATCCCCGTTACTAGCCGCCCCGTTACCCCCCCCAACCCCCTCGCCCCTCTCCCCTCCCCCTTCCACCGGAATGATCACAGTATACTGAAACGCCAGTTGTAACACTGCTCCCCGGTTACCACCACCACTCCCTCCCTTCTCTCTCCCAGCCCTCCCCTTCACCCCAAACCCAGCCTTCCCCCGAAACTCCAAGTCAAATGCGTACGAATCAAATGGATCACATCTAATGATATGATAAAGATTCTCATACTGAGCATCGGGGAAGAAGTGACCGTAGGCTCGGACGGCCCGAAGCTCCCGGGAGGTTCGGAGCCGGAGCACCCCGCCGAAAGCGGAGGGTCGGCAGAGCATGCGGTATATGTCTTGAGGGAGGGTAGCCTCGTCTAAAGAAGGGTAAAGAAAGAGAGTACCCCCGCTTTCCACACTTAAGCAACGGAGAGAGGCTAGGTCACAGTATGGGACGGGCAGGGAAGAAGGGGTGGAGGGAGGAGGATCGGCAATGGTCACAGCAGCGACCCCTGCAGCAGCAGCGGCAGCAGCAGAAGCAGGATCTGTAGTTACCGCACCCCCGGCCTCTCTACTAGCATTTTCATCCCCGTTACTAGCATAACTCGGTACAGCAAACAGATCCACGCACACCCCCGCTTGCACCGCAGCCGCAGCCAGCTCCCTATAAAACGGCGTCTGCTCCTGTAGCAACCCCTTATCCGCTACAACCGGGTCTGCTACATCCTTGGCGCTCCTGCTTCTCTGACTCGCCGCTACAGCCAGGCTGGCGAGAGCTGTATCGTACCGAACCGTACTCAACGCCCCCATACCATGGTTCGGGGCTCCAGAGAGGAAAACCAGTAATCTGGCCCCTACAAACGGGCCTACTTCCCCTGCGGCCGCTGCTGCCGCTGCTGCTGCGGCGATACTCACGTTACCCCCACCACCGCCGCCACTTCCACTGGTATTGATGACGTCAGCTCGGAGGCCTCTGGCTATTCTAGCACTCGGACCATCCTCCATACCCCCTAAATACCTAATTAAAGCGTCCAAAGCCGTTCCGAAGCCCCTAACACCGTCCTTCCTCCCCCCTCTCTCCGCGTCCTTCCCTCCCTTCCCCCCTCCGCCCTTCCCCCCCGCGCCCTGCGCCGCTCCTCCCTTCCCCCCACCGCCCTTCCCCCCTCCAGACGCGTCCAAATCGAGGGGAGGAGGGTCGGGGCGGAGGGTTTCGAGAGCAGCAGCTGCGTGCTCCTTGTGACGCGAGAGGGACGCGAGGAAGGCGGGGAGGGGGAGGAGATCGCCCAGGGCTAGGGGTAAGCGGTGAGCAGAGGAGGCGGGGATGGCGACGGATTTCACTGCTGCTACGGGGCCTTGTAGATCATAAAGGCCGACCTGGTAGGGGGGGAGGGAGGGACGGAGGGAGGGACGGAGGGAGGAGAGGGAGAGATGAGTGAAGTGGGGTTTCGAGGGCGACAGCTGCGTGCTCCTTGTGGCGCGAGAGGGACGCGAGGAAAGCAGGCAGAGGGAGGAGGTCGCCCAGGGCTAGGGGCAGGCGGTGAGCAGAGGAGGCGGGGATGGCGACGGATTTCACTGCTGGCACGGGGCCTTGTAGGTCATAAAGGCCGACCTGGTAGGGTTGGGGGGAGTGGCGAGTGGTGGAGAGGGGTGGAGAGGGGTGGGGGGTGAGTGCAAAGGCAGGAGATCGCCCAGGGCTAGAGAGGCAGGTGGTGGGAGGGCGAGGCGGGGTTGGTGACGGACTTGACTGCTGCTACGGGGCCTTGTAGATCGTACAGACCCACCTGGTAGGGGGAGCGGACGGAAGGAGTGGTGGGAAGGGGTGGAGAGGGGTGGAGAGGGTTGTTAGGGGAGGGCTAAGGGCAGGCGGTGCGAGGGCGAGGCGGGGATGGTGACGGACTTGACTGCTGCTACGGGGCCTTGTAAGTCGTACAAACCGACCTGATAGGGGAAGGGGGGGAGTGGGGAGTGGTGGGGAGGGGTGGGGTGGAGTAGGGGGTGAGGTGCAGAGGTAGGAGGTCGCCCAGGGCTAGAGGCAGGCGGAGGGAGGAGGAGGGGGGGATGGCGACAGATTTGACTGCTGCCACCGGGCCCTGTAAGTCGTACAGACCCACCTGGTAGGGAGGGAAGGGGGAGGGGGGGGGGGAGGAGAGGGGAGGGAGGTAGGGAGAGAGGGGCAAGAGGGAATCGCCACCCCTAGTACTGCTGCTACGGAGCCCTGCAGGTCGTACAGAGCGAATGCAACCCGAACAGAGCAGAAGGAGAACATAATACTCACCTTGCTTCCGAACGTAACCAGCCCGAACAGTGCAGCAGGCGAGAGCGCTTCTAACGCGGCCAGCAGCGAGCTCTTAACGAGTTCCAGAAACTCCTCTGAGCCTGACACGTCAACCATGGCGATATACACCGGCCGCTTGCGAATTTCCGCTTCGTCCAACACGTGGCAGCTGCTAATTGGCTCTCCCAACCCATGCGGAATGGAACCTGCGACCTCTCCGTCGCCCTGCGACTCTCCTTGCTCGAATTCCACTTCGTCAGCGTCGCCCTCCGCGGCAACGTCCAGCTCGACGAGCGTGTGCGACAGCTCTGCGACGTCTGCGACGTTCGATCCCCCGTAGCGACGCAGCTCCGCGTCGCTGAACGGATTCACGACGTCGCACAGCGAGCACCGCCACGAAAACCGATCGATCGCACAGTACGGATTGATATACGCATAGCAATCCTCGCACCGCGCCACGTCATCAGCTAGCGGAAGCGGCGCCGGCGAAAGCGCCGCGGGAAGCGGCTGCAGAGCCGTGCCGCCAGACGCAGAATTAAGAGACGACGACGAGCCGAAGCGCGGGAAAGAGGAGTTAGAAGACGATTTTCGAATGCTGCTTCCGCCGGTGCCGACGCTAGCTGCGACGCCGCTTCCCGGAATACCCGCTTCGTCATCTAGAGCGAATGGTTGGACGACGCAGCCCCACGGGAGACCCGTCGCATCGCGCGATTCCGGATCTAGCGGAAATTTGTTCACCGTGAAACGAATGGCCATTCTGAAGGCTGGCGATCAACTCTTTTCGCGACTAGGGAACTGGTTACCGGATTGGAACGGATATCGGAGTGTTCGCGACCGTCGGCCTGATCAAGAGAAAACTTCCAGCTTTAGAAATGTCGCGCACGATAAAACGGTGGGTCGGCCACGGCATTGGCTACGGTACGAGAAAACAATGGAAACGAGCTGAGCAAGCTTCGGCTGATCATCGGAGGACGTCAAGTATATGAAATGGAATTTTTAGGGAGGTAACATAAGTAGTTTCAAGCAATGCGTAATATTTAGGTTTGGGGCGTTTAGGGTCGACAAGAAATGCACCGAGAGCGCACAATAGAGGATCTGTCCGGAACAGCGAAAGACGCTCCTAATTTTACCTGTCCCTAATCTCCTCGCCAGTGTCCCAACGAATCTGGATTCCTGATCATATTGAACGAACTTCTGCTGGTAGTTGAGCCCCCACCATGCTGTACCACACTGCATCCCACTGAGAGTAATAGCACCGTGCACAACCACTCTAAAGGTATGACCTTTCGCCTTCTCCGAACCCAACGGAACAACATCTGTCCCGCCAAATCAGCCGTCAAGATCCAACTTCAAGAGATTCCTCGAAACGGGGAAGCGCGCCAAAACAGGAAACCCAATAATTAAAGGTTCTGCCGGGATTCGAACCCAGGTTGCTGGATTCAAAGTCCAGAGTGCTAACCACTGCACCACAGAACCGGTGTATGTCGAAAGACAGCAACATACATAACCAATTATCAAGTTAATCCAACTTAAAAGTTTAACTTGGCTATTGCTTAGTGTGTTTGTTTTTACAGCAATGGCGTACCTCGGAACCACGTCAGCGGGGCTCGAATTCGCGCTACGAGATGAGGTGAGAGCCGCGCAGAGCACGGGTTTCTCTCTCGACCCGCACGCGAGGTGCGAGTACTGCAGCGCAGGTCGCTCTGGCATAGACCTACGCGGTCTTTGCGATTCAAATGTTGAGCGCTGACCCATCGATCAGCCAAGTCTCCTGGGCTGTCTAAGTGGCGATTATGGGGAAAGCCTACTCGCAATGCACCGCTTCTGAGGACCCGCAACCTATAGTCTCTCCTGAACATTTGAAAAGAAATCCTTCGTTACCCACCAGACCATTTTAAACCACTCTTCACCCTCATTCTTACACTTCCCCCCGAATCTATGGTGCCAGCTGGCTGCCAGGCTGGCGGGGAGGGTGTCTGACGTCAGCGCGGTGCATGGCGGGGTGAGGTTCACCACTGGCGCTGCTGCTGAGGTGGGTGCGCGAAGGTTCCACGAAAAGAGCGGGTAGTGATGATTGATCAAGAGGATGCGGGGAGGGGTATGATGGAAGGGATCATGAGAGGGGAAGATCATGAGTGACACCTCAATACCTAAATCTTAAACCCTGAATCTTGGACCCTGAGTTTTATACCCCGAATCTGAAACCCTGATTAACCCTGAATCTAAAATCTAGATTCTTGAACCTTGAATCTTACGCCTGAGCCCTAGTTAGTCTCTTCCCTTGTCCTGCTTTGGTTATTTTCTACTGAACGCAGGAGCTGCAGCAGCTGAGGGCGGTGGACAACCTATACGCGTTTGTAGCCTCACGAGAGGTGCGTCATACGTCCGAGCAATGTATATACTGCTGCTGCCTTTCCTAAGTTATACCAAAATCAGAGACATTTATTCCTCGCGCCACCGCCTCCCTGCTCTGCTGCTTGACCAATCAGGACGTGCCACATGGCAAGGAGGCCGTTGACTACTTCACCGCACTGCCAGCTCAGGTATGTTTTGCAGTGTTTTCATCGATTGTGCACACTGCTGGCTCCACACTGCCAGCTAAGCAATGTCAGCTCAGCATGCCAGCTCAGCATTGGCATGCCATGACTGATCAACTGTGTGCTCTGTTGTTTCCTACCTGGCATATCCTCACCTGCCACGTCAGCAGATAGACTGGCAGCCAGCCCTCTCGCTTTTCCACCAATGGCAGCAGCGCAGGGAGGATGGAATGACGTCAGCAGCATGCGAAAGCAGACAGGAGCTGACGTCATCAGCTGAAGAGCATGAAAAATCACCTGAGAGGAAGAGGCTGAGACAGGAGGGAGAGCATGCGGTGGCGGTAACACCTGGGGCAACAGACACTGCTGATGTGGCACCACCTGAAGGAGCACCTGGGGAAACACCTGAAGGAGCACCTGTGGGAACGCGTGAGGGAGGCAAGGCAGTGGCGGCGGCAGCGGCAGAGGCAGCAGCAGGAGGAGCAGCAGAGAGGCAGGGTTCCAGTGGGCTGCAGTTTAGAGTGACCTGCCATCGTGTGTGCATGAAGCTTACCAAACACGGGTTCTCCTCCCCTGAAGCCGCTGGTATGTGCTCTTTATATGCATGTATGTGTGTGCGTGTGTGCGTGTGTGCATGTGCATGTGGGGTGGGAACAACAGGAGCAGCAGAGAGGCAGGGATCCAGTGGGCTGCAGTTTCGAGTGACCTGTCATCGAATATGCATGAAGCTGACTAAACACGGGTTCTCCTCCCCTGAAGCTGCTGGTACGTGCCCGCATCTGCGCTTTCCCATGCATCTGCATTTGCACCCACATCTGCACTTTCTCGCTCACAGGCGTATTGGTTAGTCTGAGTGTGCATCTCTTGGGATACCACTGTTACGAGGTGACTTTTGAGTCGACTCATAAGTCACCTCATCTGCACTTTCTCGCTCACGGTTCACACACCTCCCACCCCTCCTCTACTGCCATCACCCTTGTCTCACAGGCGCCCTCGGCGAGGGCCTTCTAGAAATCTTCTCGTCCTGGACCGTCAGCCTTGGGCAGTTTGAGTGTGGGCCTTAGAGTATCACGGTTCACACACCTCCCACCCTTCCTCTACTCCCATCACCCTTGTCTCACAGGCGCCTTGGGCGAGGGCCTTCTGGGAATCTTCCCATCCTGGACCGTCAGCCTTCGCCAGTTTGAGTGTGAGTGTGTGCGCTACCAGCCGCGCAGCATATAATCAGTTGAAGAACGTAGTCTAATAAAAAGCGAGTCTTATCTTACTTTGATAATGTACTTAAGAATGTAGTCTGATGAAGAGCGAGTCTTATCTTACTTTGATAATCCCTTTGGGTTCCCTGCTTGTGCATCTCCTCCTCCGTCTCTCCCCTCCCTCTCCTCCTCCGTCTCTCCCCTCCCTCTCCTCCTCCGTCTCTCCCCTCCCTCTCCTCCTCCGTCTCTCCCCTCCCTCTCCTCCTCCGTCTCTCCCCTCCCTCTCCTCCTCTTTCCCAGTGGACGTGCTAGCATTGATCCGGGACTCCCATCTCACTAAGTTGCTCTCTCTCTCTCTGCCTTTCGTCCCCCCTATGGGTACGTTGCATGTACATCACTCCCCCCCTTTCCTTTCTTCCCTTCCCCCCTCTCTTACCCTGTCACTTTCCCTCCCCATCTCCCCTTCCCTCCCCCCTAGTGGACGTGCTAGCATGGATCCGGGACTCCCATCTCACGCTGCTCATCGCACTCATCTATGCGTGAGCATATTTCCGTTACCTTGCCTTCTGAGGCGCCTCAAAAGGCATACTTCCGTTACCTTGCCTTCTGAGGCGCCTCAAAAGGCATACTTCCGTTACCTTGCCTTCCCTTCCCTTTCCTTCCCTTCTCAACAACGTCTCGCCACACCTCCTCCTATCCCCATTTCCCCCTCGCTCATTTCTTCTCCCTCTCCTCTCTGCTCCCCTTCCCCTCCACCACCCCCCAACCTCATAAACTCTCTTACAATGCAAACTGAATTCCTACACTCCATAGTGGTTCTATTTGCTGACATTCATCCCTCCTTCTAAACTGTGGACGCTCGATCGAGAAATCTGACTCTTGCAGTGATTCCCCGAAGAGAAGTGAAGAGGGATCAAAGGAGCAACAGGAACGGCAACTAAAGGAGCAACAAACAGAACAAGTGAAGGAGCAACAGGCAGAGCAAACCAATGGAGAGAGCAAGGATTTGGACAAGTGCGGCGGCAGCGGGGAGGGCAAAAAGAACGCAGGGAGGGCAATTCAAGCGAGATCACACAACGCAGAGAGACAGGTGGGTGTGGCTTGAGCTACTCCGCAGTCTAGGGGGTGGGGTGGGGTGGGGTGGGGTGGGGTGGGGTCGGCACGGTCGGGAATCAATGCTCCTTGTTCTCAGTTTTTGCTTAAGACTCTGCTGTATTTCTTGAAGTTCTGAACGTAAATCGCACGACAAAATGGGACAGGCAAGGCAAGTACCAGACTAATCAATACTTTTGAGTCGACTCAAAAGTCAGCATGGGACAGGCAAGGCAAGTACCAGACTAATCAATACTTTTGAGTCGACTCAAAAGTCAGCATGGGACAGGCAAGTCAAGTACCATACTAATCATGACTTTTGAGTCGACTCAAAAGTCAGCATGGGACAGGCAAGACAAGTGCCAGACTAATCATCTACTCCTCCTCCGCTCCTCCCCCTTCACCTTCTCCCCAGCTCTACTCTTCCCTTCCCTACCGCAAGGCTCATGTTCCAACGTCTCCCATCCCCTTCCCGCTCCGCCTCCTCCTCCCCTTTCTCCTTCCCTCCACATACCCCTCCGCCTGCCCTTTCCCCCGTCCTTCCTCATCTCCCATCCCCCCAGCTCTACTCCTCCCGCTCCTACCGCAAGGCCCATGTCCTTCCCCATCACCCATCCCCCTCCCGTTCCGCCTTCCCCTCCCCCTCCCTCCCCTTTCCTTCCCTTACCAACAGCTCTACTCCTCCCGAGCCTATCGCAAGGCCCTCGTCCCAACGTCCCTCAAGCCCAGGTGGGTGTGTCTGTTCTGGTTACCGCGTGTCACATTCCCATGATGTGTCTTGGACCGCCTCACATCCCAGCTTGGGACACTCCCTCCTCCTCTCCACCTCTACTCCTCCCGCGCCTACCGTAAGGCCCTCGTCCCAACGTCCCTCAAGCCCAGGTGGGTGTGTCTGTTCTGGTTACCGCGTGTCACATTCCCATGATGTGTCTTGGACCGCCTCACATCCCAGCTTGGGACACTCCCTCCTCCTCTCCACCTCTACTCCTCCCGCGCCTACCGTAAGGCCCTCGTCCCAACGTCCCTCAAGCCCAGGTGGGTGTGTCTGTTCTGGTTACCGCGTGTCACATTCCCATGATGTGTCTTGGACCGCCTCACATCCCAGCTTGGGACACTCCCTCCTCCTCTCCACCTCTACTCCTCCCGCGCCTACCGTAAGGCCCTCGTCCCAACGTCCCTCAAGCCCAGGTGGGTCTGTCTACCGCCCACCTGTTTGCATTCCCACAAAACCCCATGATGAGACGTCTCAAAAGCCGTCTTCTTACACACGGGCTTTAAGACGCTCCTGAACTCAAGCCCAGGTTGCGCCTTTTCCGCTTCTCGCTCTGTCATCCTCCCCCCTCCACCTCTCCCCACCCCTTCTGGTTATTCCTTCCCTAGCCCTCCTGCAACTGGCTTATATCCGTGCTTACACCTCGCCACATCCCCACCTCCCTCCTCTCGTCTCCTCCCCCCTCTGCCCCTTTCCCCCCCCTCCTCAGCACAGCTTTCGCCCTCCTGCAACTGGCAAACATCCGCGCTTGCACCTTACAACCTCTTCCTCTCCTCTCTTCATCCTCTCTTCATCCTCTCTTCATCCTCTCTTCATCCTCTCTTCATCCTCTCTCCTCTCTCTTTCCCTCTCTTTTCCCCTTCGCAGCACCGCCTTCGCCCTCCTGCAACTGGCGGACATCCGCCCAGGCGACATCGTGCTCGACCCCATGTGAGGCTCACTGTACTCGTTATTGAGCTGTATATGCGAACTCGTTATAGCCATCCACACTACAGGGAAGCACACCTGCCGCAGGCCTGTTAGCCTTGGCCCTCCTGCAACTGGCGGGCTTCCACCCCGGCCACATCGTGCTCGACCCCATGCAAGTCCCTGCATACTCGTTATCAATATCCTCACATCATACTGGCCTTGCCATTGCCCTCCTGCAACTGGCGGGCATCCACCCCGGCCACATCGTGCTTGACCCCATGTGAGGCTTTTTCCTCGTTTACACATACTCTTTATTGAGTTGTAGAAAGGGGACGCACCTGTCAGTCACACACCTGCTGGCCTCCGCCCTCCTGCAACTGGCAGACATCCACCCCGGCAGAGCAACTGGCCTACTCAGCCCCATGACATGTAAGGTTCTATACTAGTCGTACTGTAGCCAGTCATACTCGTTATAGAGTGGCAGGGTACACACATGCCACAAATCTGTCTGCCTCCGCCCTCCTGCAACTGGCTGGCGGGCCTCCACCCCGGAGGGGATAACAAATGCTCTGTGGCTGTTCATGCATGAGCACGCCTTGTATCCCTCCATATCGCATGTCACCGCACTAAATCCCTTCGTTCAACCCCCCTTTTTCAGGTGTGGCTGTGGGACTCTCCCTCTGGAGGCTGCTGATTGGTTGAAAAGTTGCGTCAGTGCATTTGGGGGGGATAAAGATGCAGGGGCTGTAGATGCTGCTGCAACCAATAGCATCGCTTGGAGAACCGCTTTAGCCAATAGCAAAGCCTTGGGAATTGCTGCGGCGAACAGGAGCGCCTTGAGAATCTCTGCGGCCAATCAGGGCAAAGAGGAAGCCGCTGTAGCGAATGGGGATGCAGCAAGGAGGAGCCAAAAGGGCCACGTGGCAGGCTGTGATTGGCTGGTCTGGGATGCCTCTGCCCTGCCTCTGCGAACCGGCTGTGTGGATCGGGTGCTCTGTGACATGCCCTTCGGGGTGCGGTGTGGTGAGTGGTTCGAAGTGGTGAAGAGTGGTGACAAGCGGTGACAAATGGTGAAAAGAGGTGAAAAGTGGTGGAGGTGCTTAGTTGATGACTGGCTGTGGATCGGGTGCTCTGTGACATGCCCTTTGGGGTCAGGTGTGGTGAGTGGTGGAAAGCAGTGACAAGCGGTGCTTAGGAGGGGTGTCATGTGTGGATAGGGTGCTCTGTGACATGCCCTTCGGTGTGTGGTGTGGTGAGTGGTGACAAGTGGTGACAAGTGGTGACAAGCAAGCCCCATGCCCCGTACCCCGTGCCCCACTCTGCCTGTGTTCTCCATGCCAACCCCTGCATCCGCTGCTTCCAGGAAACTTCAAGATGAGAGAGCGGCTGTGCCCCGCAGTGATCCGGCAGGTGTGTGTGTGGAGGGGGGAGGGGGAAGGGGGGTAGAGGGGGGAAGGAGAGGAGAGAGGGGGGGGGAGGAAGAGGAAAAGGATGAGGTGAGGGGGAAGAACAAGAGGGGAAGTCGGTGATATGAGGGCAGTGGGGAGAGAGAGGCTGCGCCCTGCAGTGATCCGGCAGTGCGGGAGGGAAGGGAAGGGGGGGTGAGGGGAAGGGGGAGGAGGTGAAGGAAGAGGAGGACGGGAAAGATGGGGTGGATATATGACTTTGACAGGTGAGCGAAGAGGAGGAAATTTCTACATTATTACCTAGCTGTTTTTTTCCTTGTCAGCTTTTAATCTCCGTGCTCCTCCAAGCCACGAGTATTTCTTTCCATTATAGAAAATTTCCACATTATGATGTTCTTTTTCTACTTCCCCTTCTCTTTACCCTGCCCTGAAACTCTCAGGTTGCACGTGTACTGACCCCAGGCACTGGTACGTATGCATCCTGCTGCAACCCCCATTTCCTCAATTGCTCCAACGCCCGCACCCGCATGTGCCAGTCCCACCCAACCCATGCTCTCATCACGCACACGTGTGCTGACCCCAGGCACTGGTACGTATTCATCCTGCTGCAAACCCCCTCAAATCTGCCAGTTATGTGAAAATATTCAACCCCTCATGTCCCAATGATGTTGAGTATCCTGAGTCGTTGTTTCCCACACCTGTATGGCAAGTCAATTACTTGGATTCTCATAATCGCTTCAATCTGCTTGACTTTCACCCACTCCCTTGATCTGTCCGACCCAGTGTCAAGTTACCAATCATGTATACTCCCCACAACATAGTATTGCAATCCGATACCTTTCCACAAAAACCGAATGGCAAAAACTTGATTTTTTTTCTCATCACTTAGACGTGCTTGCCACACAGTTCCCAGGTTTGTGTCTTTCATTTCAATTCATTTTATTGGCCTGCTAATCCCCTTGCAGGACTGGCAGTGCTGATGGCGGTGGGCAGGGGCGGTGAGGGCAGCCGTTGAGGGGCTATCTGTGTGTCTGCGGGAGAAGCGATTGCTACATCCCCACCCCCTATCTCCCCCTTTTCATGTCCCGCTCTCCTTTGTCCCCCTGCTCCTTGCAGGACTGGCAGTGCTGATGGCGGTGGGGAGGGGCGTGAGGGCAGGTGTTGATGGCCAGGCAGTGTGTCTGCCCGTCTGATGCACTTGCTGCTGCTTTCCACCCCCCTCCCCGCCCCTCTTCTCCCCTCCTTCCTATCTCCTCCCTGTCTGCAGGACTGGCAGTGCTGATGGCGGTGGGGAGGGGTGTGAGGGCAGCTGTTGAAGGCCTGTCTGTGTGTCTGCGGGAGAAGCAACGACTGGCTGTGGAAATGGAGGTGAGGGGGGTGGGGAGGGGTTGAAATGGGAGCAAGTGAGTTGCCTCAAAGGCTCTCTGCACTCTACAGAGAAAGGCACAGTTAAAGGAAGGGGTGTGACTTGTGACTCGTGAGGGCAGCCGTTGAGGGCCTGAGCGTGTTTCTGCGGGAGAAGCAGCGACTGGCTGTGGAGATGGAGGTGAGGGGGGGTGGGTAGGGGTTGAAATGGGAGCAGGTGAGTTGCCTCAAAGGCTCTCTGCACTCTACAGTGAAAGGCACAGTTAAAGGAAGGGGTGTGACTTGTGACTCGTGAGGGCAGCCGTTGAGGGCCTGAGCGTGTGTCTGCGGGAGAAGCAGCGACTGGCTGTGGAGATGGAGGTGAGGGGGGATGGGTAGGGGTTGAAATGGGAGAAAGTGAGTTGTCTCAAAGGCTCTCTGCACTCTATAGAGAAAGGCACAGTTAAAGGAAGGGGTGTGACTTGTGACTCGTGAGGGCAGCCGTTGAGGGCCTGAGCGTGTTTCTGCGGGAGAAGCAGCGAGTGGCTGTGGAGATGGAGGTGAGGGGACGGGAGTGTGTATGGGGGAGGTAGTATATGAGGCACATACACATATGTGGGGGGCGGAAAAAGAGGCGTGAGAGCAGCTGTTGAGGGTTTGGCTGTGTGCCTTCGGGAGAAGCAGCGGTTTTCAGCCGCTGGCTGTCGGAATGGAGGTTAGGGGGGTGGTGGGTGGGAGGTCGGGGGGTTCGGAATGAGAGGTGAGAGGTGTGGTGGTGGAAGGGAATGAGATGTACGAGGGGGGTGAGTGGATGGTGAGGGGAATGGCATGTTCCATAATTATAGCATTATTTCAACATCACACCATTTACTGTATGTTGTTTTTCTTCTTCTCGTGACTTTGTCCAGGGTATTCGAGTTGATGTTTATGTGTTGGAGCGAACTGAAGCCGCTGTTCCGGACCCATCGCCACCAGCACCAGCAGCACACCGACATGCAAGGAAGTGATGTAGTGCTTTTCTTGCCTGGGGATTCTACCCAGGGCATTCGAGTCGATGTCTGTGTGCTTGTCCCTGGAGGAAACTGCAATGGGAGATGCAGTGGAGGGAGCTGCATCTCCCATTGTGGAACCACCACTGCCAGCACTATCAGCAGGACCACCACTAGCAGCACCATTAGCACGACATGCAAGGAAGTGATGTAGTGCTTTCAGACATTCCTACCAGTGATTTACCATAATCATTCAAATTCTTGTGTATGTATTGGATAGAACGACCTGCTGCTAGTGAGGTATATACTACATGGGATTGGATATGGCCTGCCTGGTGTCGACCCTACAAGCCCGGGTGTTGCGGGGTGAAGGCAACGAGTGGAGGAGAGGCAGGTAAGTGGGGACTTGAGTGTCCATCATTCTAAGTGAAGGAGAAACATTCGTGATTTATGTACCACTCGTGAGGCACATAGCACATGGGATTGTACAGAGTCTGCCAGGCACACCTTAGAAGCCTAGGAGAGGAAGGTTGGTTGGTAGGGCGCTTGAGTGCCCATGGTCCGTGTGAAGGAGAAACATACTTATGGATGACCCCACAAGCCCAGGTGATGCAAGGAAAAAGACAAAGAGTGGCAAAGAGGAAAAGTGGATTGGTGGGAGCTTCAGTTCCCGAAGTCTAGATGAGCGAGACACATGTCTTATCGATGTACGGTATTAGTGAAGCATATACCACGTGGTATTGTGTAGCGTCTGCTGGACACAAACACATGCACAGGTGATGCTTTGGGAATTCTCGAGAGGAAAGGCAAATAGGAGAGGCTTCATAAGTGGTTACAAGCATGAGTAAGCGCACATACTCTATGCGAAGGCAGGGAGGCTTCATGCTGAGGAGAAAGCTGCCTGGTAGGGTGCCCAGGATCTGTATAGGAAAATCAGAGGAAGAGAATAGAACTCAAGAACTTGCTGCTGCTGCTCCTGCTCCTGCTGCCGCTGCTGCGGCCGCTGCTGCTGCCGCGGCTGCTGCCGCTGCTGCGGCCGCTGCTGCTGCCGCGGCTGCTGCCGCTGCTGCGGCCGCTGCTGCTGCTGCTGCTGCCGCTGCTGCTGCCGCGGCTTCTGCTGCTGCTGCTGCTGCTGCTGCTGCTGCTGCTGCTGCTGCTGCTGCTGCTGCTGCTGCTGCTGCTGCTGCTGCTGCTGCTGCTGCTGCTGCTGCTGCTGCTGCTGCTGCTGCTGCTGCTGCTGCTGCTGCTGCTGCTGCTGCTGCTGCTGCTGCTGCTGCTGCTGCTGCTGCTGCTGCTGCTGCTGCTGCTGCTGCTGCTGCTGCTGCTGCTGCTGCTACCACCACTGTTGCTGCCACTGCCAACACTGCCACTTCCACTGGTGCTGCTGGTGCTTCAGAATCGCAAATGTGGTCTTTCTACTGCTCCTGCCACTGCTGCTGCTGATGTTGGTGCAGCTGCCACAGTTGCAGTTCCAATTGCCGCCAATGCTTGAGAGAACTGAAAAAGCACGGTGGTATATTTATGAGGTATATTTATGATTCAGATTCTGAGCCTCTGTTGTGGTATATTTAGGGCGCTTCACCTGTCGGTTCGAACAACACACTCGTTCGAACAGGCGAAACGTTACTCGTTTCGCCTATGTTCGTAGTGGTTTTCGTGACGTCGCGAAGCACAATTTCGCCAATTTGAACAGAGCTGTCACCTCAAGCACGATTTTCATCATCCCGCACGTTCGAACACGTTTGTTCGAACAGGTTGGGATAGGTGACACACAATTCCGCACAAACGACTGATATGATTGGTCCACAGTCTTCCGGGTCGCCCATGAACGTTTGCGACCCGGCCAGACGTCGCCAATGTTTGGGACCCAATGTTTGGCGACGTCGCTCTTTTGTGGGCGACGTCGCTGTGTTCGAACAGACCGCGTGTGCGAATAGCGATGGCGTCACCTGTGATGGCCTGTGTCACATTCGCTCATTGTACGTATTTGTGTTCGAACTCATTTGGGATACTGTTCGTACAGTCAAACTGATACGTCGGTTCGGATTTTGGCCTTCCGCCCCTCAGGTGAAGCGCCCTTATGAGGTGACTTTTGAGTCAACTCAAAAGTCACCTTAATTCATGGTGCAGCTGTTGCCATGGCAGGGTTCGGCTCGAGCAATCCAAGACAACGCGAGCTCCATATTTTGCTGCTGCAGATCCCCACCAGATGTTACCGGCACACTGCTGCTGCTCCTTCTCTTCAGTGGTGTGCCGGTTGGTTCTTTTGCTGCAACTACCTGTAAAACCCAACACGAGCTCTGGATATTTCTCCTGCAGATCACACCACTGCCGCTCCTATGCAAGCAATGGTGTGCCGGCAGTTGCATTTGCTGTAACTATTACCTGTTAACACCTGCAGTCCCCAGTGTGCACCTCGCAATTTTTTTTTTTTTTTGTGCCCCTTATACATACATTGCATGCACTGTACATCAGGCCCTACGATATCAGAAAATTTTCCCTGAAATTCCTGATTTTCAGCCTAGTTTTGTGTACCTACACTGAATTTTCAGTGTTGAGATTTTTGTGACACTGATTTTTTCAGCCTTTACTTCATAGCTAACACTGATGTTTCAGACTTTTATCGAAGTGTACACTGAATGCACATTCCGAATCCTTCCCGTAAAACACCCGAGACAATAAGTCAACCAACATTTCCTCATAATAAAATCATGGTTAAAAATGACTGAACATTGCGTCGATGAACTGGCTTAGTGGTTAGCGAAGTAGATACCGAATGGAAAGACTGCCGGTTGAAATCCCTCTACTACCATGTTCGTGAAGGATACCCTTTTGCACAATCGCATGATATGATTGAAAATTCAGGCTTTTGTTTTCCGGAACACTGAAAATTCAGGCTTTTTGTTTTAGGAACCCTGAAAATTCAGGCTTTTTTTCACAGGGACCCTGATGCATCAACGTCCCTAAAAGTGAATCTGAGGGTCTGCTGTACATGATTTGCAAGTTCTGAAACCACAGCTCTGGTAGTTTTAGACAAGATTTGTAAATTGGCACTAGTGGGCCACATCAAAACGATAAGCACTTTTGAGTCTAGCTCAGGAGCGTTCTTTTTAGTATTAAATGAACAAATTTGTTTGTACGGTATCTGTGAATCTACAACAACAGATTTTTCAATTAAAACAACAGGACTACTGATCACCCATAAATTACATTAACATCACAACAAAAAACTGAGAGCGTCTAGTCCTTGCAACTGTATTTATTTGCCACACCCATCCTCCATGAAATTACTGACGCTCAGAGTGCCCCTCCTCCCAGCAACGCAAACACGTCATGGTGCTGTGTGTTGCCACTCTTAAGGGGCTTCAAAGGCCTTCACTTGCCAACCCCATCCCCATCTCCCATAAAGTCACTAATGCTGACAGTATCCCCTCCTCCCAACAGCGCAAACACGTCATGGTGCTGCGGGTTGCCGCTCTCCCCTCCCACCGCTCCCAACATCTCCGAATCCATGCGAGATTCAGTAGTAGCATCACAGAGGAAAGGACGTGCAGCAGCAAAACCAGCAGCACCAGCACCAGCACTGGCAGCATCAGCACCGGCAGCAGCACCTTCTGCACTCCTCCCAGCACCGGTAGCAAATGTGTTTCGAAATCCCTCTGCCTCTCCTTCCTCTCCTCTTCCACCAGCATCTCTATTCGCTCGAGAAGAGGCCACTGCTATAGCAAGAGCCGCAGCCACTGCAATCCGAGAGGAAAGGTCCCTCGGAGGACTGCTGCCGCTCCCCGCATTCCCGTGACCATGCCCTCCCTGGTCCTGCCCTGATGGGTGCCCCATCTGCTGCTCCCTCCTCGGTACGTCCGACTCACCACCCGCTCCTCTCCCCATGCCGTTTCCTGAGCCGCCTTGCCCAGAATTCCCCCTTCCTCCTCCTCCTCCTGCTCCTGCTCCTGCCGCTCCTCTGCCTCCTCTTCCTCCTCCTCTTCCTCCCGCTGTGTTCCTCTGATGCTGCTCAATCTGCCTGAGAATCACACGGGCCAAGTCAACCACCTCTGGGTCCTCCGCTGCAGATCCCACATCCGGGAGCAAGTTTGCGTAACCCCCTGGGAGCGCTGGTAACATGGGTAACATGGTAACCAGGTCTTCCATGGACTGCCCAGAAGCCAGCCGCCTGCTTTCGGCTTCCTCCATGCCGCCTCCTGCAGCGAATTCGTCACGATCGCGCTCGTTATAAGCACGTGCCCTAGAGAAACCAACAGAGGGGGTGCCTGCAGCCACGGCTCCCACTCCTGCTGCTGAAGAGGTGGGAAGCGCCCTTGGAGCGTGGAATGGAGTGTTAGGTGTGGCTGCAGAGGCAGCAGAGGAGAAAGCAGTCGATAAGGCGGCAGAATGGGCGCGAGCGAGGGAGAGCAATCCACTCGCGTTTATAGGGTATTTGGGGGGGGATCCCTCCAGTCCGTGGGGTAGAGTTGCAATTCCCCCAGCAGCAGCACCACCACCAGCAGCAGAGAAGGCAGCAGAGTGGACACGAGCGAGGGCAAGGGCTCCGATCATATCTGTAGGGTACCCATGGGAAGAACCCTCCGTCCCAGGGTGTACACTTGCGATTCCCCCAGCAGCAGTACCACCACCACCACCAGCAGCAGCAGCAGCAGCCTCAGCAGCAGCAGCAGCAGCTGCTGCACAAGGGCCTGGACTAATCGGGTTTAAGGGAGAGGCGCTGCTGGGAACAGGAATCTCAAGCCAGTGGGAAGGCTGGAAGGCAGACGCAGCAAGCGAGGGGGGCTGGGGTGAGCAGGTCGGGGCAGAGGGAGCGTGAGGGACGTCTGGGATAGGCATGAAGTCGTTGAGAAGGCTCCCTAGCTGCGTGGAGATCGGGTCTGCTGCTTGTGGGACGTGCACACTAGGAAAGCTCGCTCCATCCTGCATTGCATGAGCCCCCTTCTCCTCCTGATCCTCCTGTTGCTCCTGCTTTACCAGCTCCTGCTGCTTCTGCCAATCCTCCCACTCCTCGATCTCTTCCATATCCCTCTCCTCTCGCTCCTCCCTCTCTCTCCGTGCTTTCCTGGCTGTCTGCATTTCCTGCGATTCTAGGCCTTCTTGGGATTCCTGGGGTTCTTGCATGTGTGAGTCACTTTGCACTTGCACCAACTCTCCCAGTCCCACTCCCTCCTTCTCTCCCCTCCTCTCTCCCTCGCTCCCTCGCTCCCTCTCTCCGTCCGACTCTCCCTCCCTCACCCCCTCGCTCACTCCCTGTAGCGCCCATCCCTCCTGCTGCTGCTGCTGCTGCTGCTGCTGCTGCTGCTGCTGCTGCTGCTGCTGCTGCTGCTGCTGCTGCTGCTGCTGCTGCTGCTGCTGCTGCTGCTGCTCCCACGACGCCCAAACCTCCTCGAGATGAATCCTGGCCTCAGTTGGGACACGTGGCGGCTCCTCACTGGTCAGCCATGCGCTGCTGGCATCAATCCCCACGCTTGGAAGCACGGCGCTGCTCCACCTCTCCAGATTCACTCCCTGCCTCCTCTGCTGCTGCTGATTCTGCTGCTGCAGCCGCTGCTGCTGCTGCTCCAACTGCTCCTGCTGCTGCATATGCTGCTGTTCCCCCTCTTGCTGTCCCTCTTGCTGCCCCTCCTGCTGCCCCTGCTGCTGCCCCTGCTGCAGATTCAGGTTGTGCATAAAAGCAGCAGAGAGGTTAATATCCTCATCAACATTCTCCCTTCCACCTTCCTCCCCGCTACCATCCTCCCTTCCAGAATCATCCTTCTCCTCTCCTGCCTCTTGCGAATACCGCCTTTCAGAGGTTCCGAAACTCCCCTCACCCGCCCCCTGAGGCTCAGGAGTGTGCATACGGCTCCTCTTGCCGCACCGCTGCTCATCTGAATCAGCCATCCCATACCCAGCAGCCCAGAACTCCGCGCTAGGATTAATCAACTCCATAGCGTGTGTCCCCGGTCCTGCTGCTGCTCCCCCTCCTCCTGCTGCTCCTCCTGCTGCCCCTGCTTCTCCGCCCGCGATCGCAGCAGCATCGGCCACAATACCTGCTGCAGCCACACCAATCACCTCCTCTTCCACCAGCAACCCAGCCACACTCCTCTGAAACCTCTCCAACGCCTCTCCACTCCGCACCCTCCCCCTCCACCCTCCTAGATTCACCCTCCTCCTCGCACTCCTCCTCCCACTCTCACTCCCGCTCTTCCCTTCCTCTCGCAGGCTCACCTTTCCAACCCCTGCTGTCCCCCCTTCCTCATTGATCGTCTCACCTGTTGCCTGCACCTTCTCCTGCAGAACCTGCCAGGAACCATCGTCAGATGCTGCCCGCCTCAGTCCCGACCTTCCCCAGGGATCATCCTGCCAAGCCCATCCCTTCTCCTGCCCCTCCTCCTCCTCCTGCTGCTGCTGCTGCTGCTGCTCCGGCTGTTGCTGCTGAGCCTGTCCGGGCAGGTTCGGCGCAGGCATGGCGTCTTCCGAGCCTGTGCTCGTGGGTGTGGCCGACGCGGACGACAATGAAATGGAGCTGCTGCTGTTGTTACTGCCAGCCTTCGCTGTAGTTACCTGGTTACCACACGGAGAGATTCCTCCAGAAAGACCAGCCATGTCACCCAGGCTGGCAGATTTGTTCGCCAGGAACGAAGCACGGCGGTTACCAGCAGCACGGTTACCATCAGCAGCGGCAAGGAAATTGCCGGCACTAGAAAGGTTAGGTGCTCCCCACGCGTTGGTGCCTGGAGAGACTGTAGAAGGGGAGGTACCGGGGGTTGTAGCAGCAGCTGTAGCAACGGATGTAGCAGCAGCTGTAGCAACGGATGTAGCAGCAGCTGTAGCAACGGATGTAGCAGGGGCAGATGCAAAGGATGTAGCAGCAGCTGTAGCAAAGGATGTAGCAGCAGCTGTAGCAACGGATGTAGCAGGGGCAGATGCGAAGGATGTAGCAGCAGCTGTAGCAAAGGATGTAGCAAAGGATGTAGCAGGGGTTGTAGCAACGTCTGGGGTAGGGGCTGTAGCAGGCGCTGCAGCAGGTGTGGATGTAGAAGGGACTTGAAAAGCACCAGAGAAGCTCTTGCTACTAGGGACGGCAGGAAGACCCCCCTGCATTAAACCTTCCCCACTGCCCCTCCCCCTGCTGCTGCTGCTGCTAGAATCGCTACCTTTTGCAGCAGGTGTTGCTGCGAGGGAAGGAGAGAGAGAACCGTATACAGGAAAAGAAAAGGATGAGGTGACAGCTTGGGCGGGGTTGGGGTTTCTAAATGGGGCTGATGAGTGCGTGTATGTGTCTTCAACAGCAGTAACGGCAGCAGCCGCAGCAGCGTTGACAGCAGCAGAAGCAGAAAAAAAGGCCCCGCTGCTGCCGCCGCCACCGCTGCCGCCGCCGCCGTTGCCACCAAAGTCGCCACCAGCAGCAGCAGCAGCGGCGGCAGAAACAGCAGCAGCAGCACCGAATTGTGAGCTTTCAAAGGGCCGCTTGCGCACGTTGCTGGAACCGAGAAGAACCACGTGCGATCCAAACGGGTTTGTCCGGCTTCTTGAATGATCTCCTAATGCTGCGAGGGCATCGGCAGGTATGGAGGACGCTGGTGCGGAGGTAGCAGAGGAGGGGGAGAGGGGTGCAGAGGCAAGGAGGCGACTCGACAAGGCGGCTCGGGGAGGAATGGAAGGCAGTGAGGGAGGAGACATGGGTATGCTAAAGGAGGGATTCGTTAGCTGTTGAGTGCGCTGAAGTGCCTGTTGCTGCAAACGCTGTTGCTGCTCTAGCTGGTTCTGCAGTTGGGACTGCAACTGCTGCTTATGTTGCAGCTGCTGTTGTTGCCACTGCTGTTGTTGCTTCTCCTGCTGCTGCTGTTGCTGATGGTAATGCTGCAGCAGAACAGCAAGCTGCAACTGTTGAAGCTGCACATTACCTGATAAGCCCTGCCTCTCACCCATCGGTTGATCGCTCACGGCCCGCGCTCCTAACCGCTGCTGCTGCTGCTCCAAAAGCATCCCTTCTCTTTCAGGGGTACTTGCTGGATTTCCCTGCATCCCCATCTTCGTTACAAACTGCTGCGTTTGCAGGTTATTTGACGCGAAAGCGCGGACACGGCCAGAAGCAATTGCCGAAGACTGGTGCAGTGTGACGGTAGTATCTGCATCGGCAGCAGGATCAACTCTTGCAACCAGCGGCTCGAAAATCCCACCTTTCTGAACCCTCCCCCCATGACCGCTACCGCCGCTACCTTCACGCGAAGAGATCCTTTGGTCCAGATCTTGCATTTCAGGGCAGGCTGCTGACGTGGAGGCTCCTGGTTGGGCAGCAGCTTTTGCTGCTGCTGCTGCCGCAGTATCCACGTCCCTACTAATACTACTACTAGTAGCAGCTGCTTTCCTCTGCTGCCCTGTCTCCTGTCCAACCGTCTGAGACGGTCCGCCTAAAATCACCTGCTGGCCGCCTTGGTGGTTGTGCTTGTTGGTGTAAGATACCTGCACGTTCTCGTCTGTTACCACTGCCTCTGGATTGCGGTCGATGGTCTTTTTGGCCGGGCAGCTCGCTCCCTTACTAGTGTAACCACAGCGATAGTATGCCCTGTGAAAAAAAACAATGGAAAAACTGGCGATAAGAATAATTTTTGTTTTTTATCTAGAGAAAAAAATGCGGCATTTATGGAAGTCACTTGGTTTGTCCTGAGGCCAAAAGAATTTAATCAATAAAAGAAAGAAATTAATAAAGAGATAATAAATAACAACAAACAAGCAAAAACAAGGGCCAGGTTTCCGGCTCGATTTCCGCAAATGCAGTTTCAAGCCATAGAAACTGGAAATCCACCACAGACTGGAACAAGAATGTCTTTCACATATTTCAAAAAATCTCCGTCACTTTTTAACTGACTTGCTTACCTGATGATTCCGGTTCTCATGAGTGGCTTCTCGCCGTACTTGAGCCAGTGATGACCGTCCTTCGCGACGATTTCCACCAATTTCTGCCGATCGCGCCATTCCCTGATTGCCGCCGAATCCGCCATTCCTTCTGTTGCCGGCGGCCCGGAGTCATCATGATCGCTGGTATTGGAATTCATTTTCTAGAAGTTCCCTAGAAGAGAAATTGTTGAATTCAGGCTGAGATTCTGCGCTATCTCATTACAATGTGCCGTCTGCTATTCTTTGCCAGTGTGCAAGTTCTATTCCGAGAAGCAGCTCGCAGTGACGGTGAACGTTGGCACCAGCTGAAGAAAATGGGAGGAGGTTGTGAGAAGTGATACAAGAAAGCCAACCAACGCACTATTTGAGCATGAACCACTGATGCGACCACTGAGGACGAAGGCGGTGCACTTCAGGTAAATTTTGTTTTGGCTGTAACGTGTGATCGAACCTGTCTCTATGTGGTGGAGATCTGGTGCTTCCGCCACTGTCGCCGCTGGCAATGAGGACGCGGGCACTCACACCGATCCGTGAGGGGCAGGGATTAGAATTTTAGGTGGTTTCCTGATTACCATACATGTAAGCAAACTACAGTAAATCTCTACAGTTCTCGATTGCTACCTCATATGCGATGTTCAATTGGGGCAACCGATCATCCAGGGATCCACGCCAATCTTTCGATCGGACGTCAGCGGTCAAGCAAGATCGATCGCTGGTTAGCGAGTCCGCGAAATTTCATTGTCAAACATCCGCGAAACACAATATACTTCACGCGACAAAACAGAGGGCGCAACTCCGTATACCCGGCTGTAAGGCGAAACATTTCGGGGTTTCGACAAAAGGGAAAAAAATCGCTGTTACGCCGGACTGTACACACCCCACTGACGATCGTGATCACAAGTGGGGAGCAGATCACAGAAGTCCAATCGTCAAATGAACACTACGTTGATTAGAGAACAGTGCCAGAGGTTCGGTGAACACAAGAGATCCTACCCCGACCCTCCCGAGTGCCCGCGTCCTGAGGCACGTCCAGGAACATTCACGGGCAGTGCACAGTAAGTTAACGGCTGCAAGTAATTTTCGGGCAGGTCACGCGGCATCTCTGGCGATCACGTCCGTCATCTCTTGCTAGTCCCAACGATCACGGGTCGCAACGCGAGGCTCACAACTGGACACCTGTGGTTGGAGTTGTGACCAATGGGAGCACGTACAGAAAACGTCGCCGTCAGGTTCAACAAAAGCCGACAAACTAGTGAACAGCTAGACGGGAGAATAATCATTGCAGTCGGCTAGTTTGCCGACGTCCAAACGAGTAAAAGACGAACTGGCCGGCAATTTAGCCGGTAAGTTTTGGAGACCGTCAGAAATCAGCGCTACCTTGGGGATCCGCTCAGCTGCTGCCAGCAATATTATTTGTTGGATACAGAAGCTGTGACCGCAAAAAGAATCATTCTATTCGCGAAGACGGCATCTTTACCAGCAGTCCGTCTGTTAAGCCTTTCGTTCCGCTAACGGCCGACAATAATGGGCCAACAGAACGTCTAGCTAGACAGCTTGTACACATACGTGTGGATGCAACTGTTATACGTCTGTTGACCTGGGTGTATTGGCACCATTCGAGAACGACAAGCTGTCCTCGCTGATGTCAGGTCAAAGCTTTGCAGGGTGTTTGGCCCGGACATGACTACAAAGTCGGAGAACGATGAAAAAAACTAACTGGCTGAAAGGACGATGCATTTCACCTTGGATTTTGAGCATAGTGTGTCCAATTGTTACAGTAGAATTTGAATAAGGGAAAATATGTCACAGGTAACCATCATGTGACCCAATAACGTCAATGGTAAAAATAAAAAGCGTACGGTAACTGTATCGAGTATCCTGACGGGCTTGGTAAGCGGGGTCACGGAATCAGTCACTAGCAACAACTAAAGAATCACGCGAATGTCCAGTTCGCTAACCAACTAGGCTAAAAGGGCATGTTTCCATAGTGGGTCAGCGCACCCATACCCCCACAGGACGACACCTGTAGCCCTTAGGGAGACCACTTTGGGCCATTCCAGTGTCCACTTCCAACACTCCCCTCACTGGGAGGGCCCACCACTAGGGCACAGGAAGTTGCCAACAGCAGGAATCAAACCCCGGTCCTCCACGCTCACCGCACCATTTCTAGTTCGCTAACCAACAGGGCTAAAAGGGCATGTTTCCATAGTGGGTCAAAGCACCCATACCCCCCCAGGACGACACCTGTAGCCCTTAGGGAGACCACTTTGGGCCATTCCAGTGTCCACTTCCAACAGCGAATGGTAACACATGAAACCCCCTCCAGAAATTCCTGAAACCAGGCCGATTTCCCGCTCGCGCCAACTCGTGCGGAGAGGTTTGATGCACGCTTGTACCGTCGAGCCTCCAGCCCACCGTAATCACACCACGACCCGACGTGCTGTACACCCCCCTGCCCGCTACGGTTCCAACCAAGTACAGAACCTTGACCCCATCGCAGCTCTCCAACTTACTTCCCGCCATCAGCTATTCCTCACGCTATTACTAGTAGCTATAGCTTTCGCCAG